CCCGAACAGCAGTGACGAAAGGAACAACTTGGGTCAGTGAAAACAACCGACGGTGAACAAGTGATAAAGGTGATGTTAAAATGTAGTCGGATTTCTGTGTTGACCCCGCGTTTATGACTACGGTGTAATTGTGGCAGACAGGATGTCGCTGTGTTGGATGAAGTGCACGTATTCAGGGAGTGTAAACCGACCCCAGCTGGATGGCGGCTTGTAAGTAGTCCAGTGGAAATAACTTAAACAGGGAATAATGATTTATCACGGGTAACTAGCATGTGCTTGACAAGTCCCGTAGGATGGTTGGAGTAAAAAATAAAATTTAAAGAATCCGAATAAGTGAATCGTTATTGTAAGAGTCTACCGATTTGAATGCACAACTGCATAACAATAGTTTGAAGTGGGAATGGGATGTGCACATACAAAATATTTTAGTGAGCTGTTATAGTTCAGTAGGTACGTGAGAAAAATGAAAAGACAACGCTCCCACGTAGGTTGATTCATTTGACAGATGTTATATGTTTATCCAGTTAAGATACATCCAGGCTAATCACATGGACACTTATGCATGTATCCTCACCGTTACATTACGGAGAGGGCAATTAGTTACATGGCTGGATTTGCGTTATTTCGTCCTCCTAGTGGAACGGACTATATAAAGCAATGCAAGTCAGAAGGCATTCATCGAGACCTTTTTTGAATAGCGTTAATGTTTTGGTATGAAAAACGTGAGCCGGAAGAGCATTCCACACACGAGATACACGGATAGAGAAAACGTTTCGTCGACAATCAAGTCGACTGTAGTGTGCAGCCAGTGAAAGAGCGGTCCAGACGATCGAACGCTTTCGAGAAGTCCAGGTAGACAACGTCGACTCCCATTCTGGCATCGGCTGACTCCGTCCAGCTTGCTTGGGCTAGCAGCAAGTTTCTAGTGCAGGATCCGTGTTGCTGTGACACTAAATAATGTTGCTCTCAAGATATCCCATGAGCACCTCTTGGATAAAACGGGGAGGAGAGTGATTGGACGGTAGTTCGAGGACTCCGCACGATTACTACTTTTGTAAATAGGAGTGACTAGCCCATGTTTCCACATTGTGGGAACCCGCATTTCCTCGAGACAATGTTGAAAGAAGCGAGCTAATGGTTCGGCAAGGTTCATGTCTGTTATCTTCAATGACTTCGGTTTGATGTCGTGCACCTCAGGTGAGCTGTGCACACGTACTTATATTAGCATTTTCATCACATTAGCTGCCGTAAACTATACGTAGTTTAACCCTGGTGGCGATGGAAGCTGTGTCAAAAACGAATGTAATGATGGTTCACTCCGGAAATTATAGATGAAGTGTTGGTGAAACAGGTTGGCTGCGTTTTGTGCGGTTTACGCAAGAACTGTTGCACGTAAAACTAGGATCCTGCTCTGCACTCTGCGGATTTTGTTGACGTGTTGATACATAAACTTAAGATTTGTACTGAATTTCACTGCTAGGGTTATTCTGGGGCGTGGAAAACCTCAGCCCCAGAGTAGTGAACCTAGTGTGACAGCCCCAGAAACGTGGACATCGTTCGCCTTTTCGATGGCTGTATAATCGTACACATGCGATCACTTCATATGCGGTGATTAAGTTAATCCGTTTCAACGTGACCCCCGTGGTGAGGTCAAAACAACCGCTGTCCTTAAGGTTCACGCTGTGAACATGCAATATACCTGTGTCCTTATAGCAGATCCGCTTGTACAAGTAATGGCGATTGAGCGCACGATTTTAATGTGCAGATTATCGACAACTGTGTTGAAGTACATGCAACCAACGGCCCAGCTTGATCACATGCTCCTGGTGCGCCGTTGTCATGTCTAGTAAATTTGCAAGTTAATTTCCTTCGGTAACTATCTGTCTACCCTGAGGTCCGGGCACTCAAAGTGTGTTTAACAGTAGCTGACACAGCTGTCCACATATTTCGGGAACCATGTCCAATGGTGGTGCTATGCAAAAGTGGTGATGTTTGGATTTCTGACAAATGCCTCCCAGAAGGCAGATGACTGATTGCCTTCGGTTTTCACGTTCCTGTTCCTTCATGAAATCACATGAGCAGTTAAGCGCTCATCAACGTTGACCACCATAATTCACCTCTAGCTAGGCAACTTCGCAGAAATCAGTGCCAACAGTACCACCGTCGAGCAGTTTCCGTTGACGATTCCGCGCGTCATAACTCAGCGACGTCCAACATCATTCTCTTCCATGATCAAGATGCAAGCAGCGAAACGAATTATACAACCGAGTGGCATTCAGTTTATAAAACCCAACTTCCTTCTACATACTATCAATCGACGATGATGCCCGCGGCCCACGATACTCGAAACAAAGATGGGTCAGAGATATGTTACGCCTAATAAAGCAAAGCTTAACTAGTCGTGGGGGATGGAATAAGGTGGGGACTGAACAGATGATTACAAAAAGAAAATTGTTTTGGTGGATAAACTATAGTGTTTTCTTTGAGACATGCGTAAATGTGCCGAGGTGTTCACATGCATATATATATATATATATATATATATATATATATATAAGGCGGTATCCAGTTTCGGATTTGCCTCTCACTGTGGCAAGCCACAGGACGCCTGTGCCTACAGAGGGACCATGGGTGGTTTACGCTGCAACACCCACAGCTCCAATCACATACCCCATATCCAGTGTAAACCCGAAGGAATAAGATCGGGAGGCAGGTGGATGCGAACCAAGTTTCATCAATAGAACCGGCCCACACAACTTCACAGGCAAACGTAAGCACGCTGTATTTGAGAAATTAAGTGCACCAAGGACGGTAGCTGGACCGTAGTCCGCTCCACGCTGAGTGCATGGAACCACTCTTTGATCCTTACACGGCCACAGGGATCGTGCACCCTGTCCCCTTCAGCAACGACCAACTGTCTTCTGGAGAGAGTATGGACGACGTAGTGGGTAATAGACAAGTAGGCACCTTGTCAACATGCACATCAAGCGCAGCCACGCCGGTGATGTCAAATAACAACCAATCATTTGAAATAACATTACCAAATAAAATATATCTGTAAAAGCATACGGCAATGCAGAGATAACTCTTCGCTAAATTAGCGTATGAAGTTACTTGGTTAGCACCAAATCCGCGATAAGTACAAAATGTGCACAAGTCATTCAAAAGATGCCAAAACGCGATAAAGTTTACGAAGATAAACACACTTAGCGTAAGCAACGAATACAAATTAATAGAAGATCCAGACAGACCGACAAACCGAATAAGGTGGAATGAAATTCATCCAGCTTAATAAGATCAAGTTTAAATATGTTGATTTAGCTCCACTGCACATGACTAGTGCTCTGGCTTCGACAGCAGCCAAATTCGGACTCACCATCAACACAAGCAAAACTGTCTGCCTCTTTTAGCCTTCACCGGAGGTGCAATCTTCAATATTGCCGCGAATCAGCATTGGTTCTGAAGTATTGGAAACCACCTCCGTTTCTGCTACCTTGGGAGTGTGATGTCGACTGACCAGCAGATACACAGTGAGCTTCGTATGCGCATGTCGAAGGCAACGGCTGCATTCGGGAAGCTTGAGTACCGAGTGTGGAACAACCATCAGCTTACCGTTGTCACGAAGCTGATGGTGTACAAATCCATGGTGCTGTCCGTTCTTCTATACGGCAGTGAAACGTGGACGATGTACCGTCGGGATGTGCGATATCTTGAGCGGTTCCATCAGCAGTGTTTGCGACGGATTTTGCGCATCTTTTGGGGCGACAGAGTTGCTGACACGGAAGTGTTGCACCGAAGTGGAATGTATGCAGTAGACTGCATACTTTTGCTGAGACACCTGAGGTGGCTCGGTCATGTGAGCCGCATGCATTCGACGCGGATATCGAAACAACTTATATTGTCAGCTGAGTATTGGAAAGCGGCATGTGGGGAAACCGAAGTTACGTTACCAGGACATGATCAACGTGAGCCTCTCACGTTCTAATCTTGATTGCGGATCACGGGAATCGAAGGCGGTTGATCGGCGTGCATGGCGCGATCTAATCACAAAGGCAGTTGCCGAAGTGCAGGAGAAAAACCTCATACATGCAGAGAAGAAGCGGCAATTGCGGAAGCGACAAGCACCGATGGGTTGTACTCTATCGACATCGAGCGCATGGTGCTGTAGCACATGCGGTCGCGAGTGTCTGAGTCAGGCAGGCCTAGTGAGCCAATGCTGAATTTCAGCAAAGCAAATATTCCCATTGTAATCTTGTCTATTGCCGAAGTTATTTACATCTACAATCTGAAGCCGGAATTATGTGTACCTAAACGATTCATGTGACCGATACTACTACCGTGGCCGACCGACATGATTACTTAATTCCCTTCGTGACCTTTCCTATTTACTTTAGTTTGCTGAGGCTTTTGTATTAAGTTTCTTTTGGTGCATTTTCTTACCATCTGTAGCCGCATTATTCATGGATCTGGACAGTTCAAACACCTTAGAAATCAATCCCAGCTCGATTTGACCCTTATCCCACACAATCAGGGTTATGTAAACGTTTGGGTCTGAAGAGAGTTTACCAAATAGAATTCTTAATCCTGAACTGATTTCTGGTCTTGATTTAGCTAATGACACGTGTGCCAGATATGTAGCAGGACTGATCTTCAGTGAACAAACAAAGATATCGATCTCAGTTTTGTATAAAGTGTGACAAGAAATAGAAAGAAAGAATTTTAGGCAAACAAAGAACCAAATTGAGGCATCAGTAATCAAAACAAATAAAAAATGGGGTGGCGAAAGTGCGAAGTAGCCAAATGTCGTACAAATCAATCAAAGATCGACTAAGAATAGAAAGATTTTTAAAATGGTTAAAGTGGAAAAATAACTAGGGGGATGTCCATCAGATTTGAGTGCAATTCGGAATGAAATTCAATAAGAGCAAAAATCGGGAACAATCAGTCAGATAGATTTGATTTGCATTGGGCGGGGAAGAATAGGTTCCAGAATAACGATATCAAATTGATTTACGAAGCAAATCACCCAATTCGGGGCCCTCACTGGTATGGATTAAAGGGAGAGAGAAAAAGGGATTATGTCGGGGTTATAATGAATAAGGATTGTGCAAATAAGGAAAGACAGAACCAGGATAGACATAGGAAAACACGTAGCTCAGCGGCATAAGCACTTGTCGTCCAAAGTAACCGGGCTGGTATATATAGATAGACAACCGTAAAAGGCGGGACGCGGTGGTTAGATTTTTTGTCAGCCGTTCCAGAACGGGGGAATGCGATCTGACTGAATGACCGATCTCAAGACCTAGTTAGCATGCATAAGCCCCAAGCGTCAAGCATTCAAAATCAGATGAGAAATGGCTTACAGTGTCTCCAAAAGAAATGCAAAACGTGGTAAAGCCAACAACCATCGGCTGTATACCCATAAGGCAAGCCGGTTGGCCAACTATGGCTGAGTGATTCACTTTGAGTCAATGCGGAGGCACAAGCGTGTCTTACAAATAAAGTCCCACAAGACGGTAAAGTAGACTGTAAGAGGTGACAGTGAAATTGAACCAAATAGAAGCGATTCTTGTGCTGATGGGAATGTCCTATTGGGTCACATCATCGCAGGGTGTGTGTGTGTTGGAAACTCGATATGGGCTCAGTTGGCTCTATTTAAGGACTGTAAACTACACAGCTTTCAAGGACAATCCTTCATCACGCTCAATGCATATAAATGAGCAGGAGTTCATAGTCGAGCACCGATGATCAAGCGTACCTGTGCGATGCTGGAGAGAAGCGTCGCAAAAATGCGGCAAAATACAATACTAAACATCAGACACGCAAGCTCACCTGCCGAAAATGTATGGTTTTGGTTGGATTCTATTCCCTTCGAGATAATCAAGAATCGGAGTCAGTATTCGCCACGCTTCCTGAAGTTCATCGTCGCGGACGAAGTTGGCCTGGTTGCCACAAAGTACATCAAGGATCAGGCGCTCGTAGGCTTCAGGAAGTTTGAGGTTCTGTTAGAAAAGCAATAGCAAGGGAGGTGTATATAACTAATGACACAACAAAAAACCGTAAGGTGTCTAAAAGCAACTCCGATCGCTAACATGACTGAAACAAGGTAAACCCCCATACAATCTGTACGATGCGACTCATCTCAGGGCTGAAAATCGTAACAGCTCAGTAGCAGACGATATTCGTAGCTTAAAAGTGCGGGACTAACTCGAAAGATTTCAGCGACTGAGATGCGAACGCATTTTGCAGAACGGACCTATTTCGCATGCAGCTCCATCGATTCTCGGCTCTCTGAGCGGAGATCATGTGTAGTATCTGTTCTTCGTGGCGTAATTTCTACAACGGCCACTAAATCTGCGTGTTGTGCATCAGTCACTGTGTGGTCTAGTTACTGAAGCGTCTGCCTTGTTATCCGAAGGTTCCCGTTTCGAATTCGCGTAGGAGCGGGCGACCACACAACATCCCCAACTAGTTCACTTTCACCTAGTGCCACATAACAAGTTCGGGGCTCTGGCACGATGTACCACCTAGTAGTATATCCCGGTGTGTGAACTAGCAACAAGTGGGTAAAATACTGCACGAATGTCTTCTAAGATTGAAGTTGTTGGTTCAAGATTGTAACTTCTAAAGAGCAACAGCAGAAAATACGAGCGATGTGCCATTCAAGACCCATCCACAACTCGGGTGCCATTTCGGAAGATACTTCAGCCGAAGGGATGAGGCGTATGTCAAGGGTCACAGGGTCGAACGGAACTATGTGCGGGTGATCTTGCAGTATACTCCGCCCACGTAAGATCGGTGGTGGTCACGTGGCAACGAAGCATTGGTGTGGCGCACCGCCGTACTGTCGACATCCTAGACGCAGATTGATAGAACCGAGTAGCAGGGAATTATTAGCGCATCGTAGTACATGCAGGTGAATTCTACGAAATAATTAAAGGTGGATAATAACTTCAGGCGGCTTGGAATGCGAGGAGCAATTAACCCAAAAGTGAAGCGTAATGGGTCTCAGCATGGAACAAGTAACCATGTCAGATGGATAGTAAAAGTATGCACAAAAGCAGAAAGGCGATGTGCTGCTGGACACATTACGGTGATGTAGATGAAGCGAACGAAGCAAAGAGAACGGAAGAGAATGCAACCTGAAAGCGTTTGGAGTAGGTCAGATCCAGTTCAGTTTGTTCTGTGTTGAAACATATGCCAGGGGACTTGGTGACCAGCTTAGCGTACACGGCTTCATTTGGCTGCACGCGAAAGACCAGTTCATTGCGCCGCACAGTGCCAGAATCAAACAAATCTGTACCGACTTCCTTGAACTGAATACGCACCTCGGCCTTGTGTTCGTTCAGCGCTGCAAAAAAGACATGGAGTAGATGAATGAAGTACAGGAGAATACAGAGGTAATATCTGAGCAGCGGAAGTAGGAATTGCTGATAACTGACAATAAGAGTAGGTCGTCTGGCTCAATGGAGCAGTGGGACCTCAGTGGAAAAAGGACACAAAAATGCTGTGCATTCAGCGCACAAACCACAAGTAGTGGTGGGTAGATTAGCGGAATACTACTACTACTAATAATAATTGTGAACTGTACGGCGTAACGGCGCTTTGTACGCGAGCTGAGTATCCCGCGACGACGTCTACCCCTACGCGGATTCGAACCCGCGCCGCAAGATCACGGGACAGGCCCGTTACCTCTGGGCTACGGGCCGACGGAATAAACGTGTCTGTCATAGGCTATCTCCTATAAAGTCGGCGGCGGCTGTTTATCGAAATTAGTCCTGGATATGATTAAAATCCCAAAGTCGCGAAAGCGGAATTTATGGCCATTATAAACCACGGTCAGGGCAAAGAGCATCAAGGTTGTCATGTTAAAACAGATATTGAGTGAAGATTGCCGCACAGTTGAAGAAAGTCCAGTGTTAATCATTGAATCATCCCGAAGCATAAGTTGAAACAGCGGCATACTGATGGTTGGAGTGAGCGCATCAACAGAGAGCCGTGCATAAAAGTGCGGTAGTTCGACTGCTTTTATTTAGACTTCTAAAAAACATGAAAAATGATCTGCAAAGTAAGAGAATTAGAAGAAAGATGCACGCAAGAGCCGAAAGTCAGGGGTAAGGAATTGAAGAAAAACAGTCCCACGGATTTTGGGACCATACCGCATCCGAAAGAAACTACCGATAGTTGATGTGGTTCATCGCAGTGTCCCAAGCCAGGAGGATGATGTAGAATAGATCAACCAAGTTATCTGGACAGCTTCTTCGTGCCTTGTTATTGGTTGGGCATGTTGCCGCTTCATATGAATGAGCACAACAGTGACGAACAGAAGAGCGTAGCGAATGTGACCTTTAGGCAAACAACGGGCGTAACCGAACCAGTGAGGGGTAAATCGAGTTCAACGGACACTCCAGTGTAGTCTCAGAGGGTTTGTGGCCTAATATCAGTGGCGCGCCAAAAAATTGGGGCCATACTTTGCACGCACCAATGACCAGTCACAACCGATCTGTTAACACCCTCAGTATGCTGTGCTCATTTATCTGATCCATAGCAGCGACACTGCAGCGTAGAACACAATATACTTATAATCTATAAGCCCATGTTACATCATCGCCACAAACAACTAAAGTTTTTATAAAAGTCACTCGAGCTCTCTGACTTTAGCAGTAAATCTGACACCACTATCTGGTTAAGTGGAACCATCAATCACTCATCATCATCATCATCATTATACGTGTCAGCTAGAGATGGTAAAACACCTCCGCTATTGTACCGCAATACATAAAGGAAATACATACATACATACAATACATAAAGGAAAAATAAATACGACAGTTGAATGCCAGCTGAGCTACCAGCAACGGATAGGCATCGCTCCGGTAAGCTACTAGCCGGCTACTAGGCAAAAACAAAAATTTAATTACGTTTTACCCTATGAGATAAGATCGTAGATGGAGGGGGAGGCTAAAGGGATGGGGAGGGACAAAGAAACTCAAAGCAGGAACGCCACTGAGGTCGGCTCCTTGCCATATCAGCAAGTGTATCCAGCCAAACGTGTTCACCGTCTTTTGACCCCAACCAGGGAGCCGTGAAGCTCCAACTGAGGCCAGCTCCGAAGTGAGGGCCTTCATTCCTCTGGACCAAGTCATCGCTTGGCCACCTCTCCTCTTCTTCCACCCACATCCCCGGTGAGCAAACAACGCACGTCGAGGGAGTCGGTGGGCTGGCATGCGCAACACGTGGCCCAGCCATCGGAGCCTGGTGAGTGAAATGACGGTGCTGAGCGGTTCATTCCCTTTTCCTAGGCCGTAAACAAGGCGTCGAACACACTCGTTACTCACGCGGTGTTCCCACCAGATGTGAGCCAAACTGCGAAGGCACCGATGGTCGAACGTAAGTAGCCTCTTCACGTCCGCCGATCTTAGGGGCCAGGTTTCGCAACCGTACAGTAAGGTCGAACGTACCGCTGCAGTGTACACTCTACCCTTCAGGGCGAGAGTAATGTCGCGCCGTCGCCATAGGTGGCGAAGGTTAGCAAAAGCACTTCGAGCTTTCGCTATGCGGTTCGTGACCTCATCTTCGATCCCAAGGGCGCTGATACAACTTCCCAGGTAATTGAATTTCTGAACGACTTCTAGCTGATCCCCACCAAGGGTCAGCACAGGGGGCGAACCCTGCCAATCCTGGAGGAACGCTTTGCACTTCGGTGGTGCAAAGCAAAGCCCGAAGCGACTGACAGCCAGTGCTAATCTGTCCAGCGCGGCTTGACAAAATTGGAAGCTGTCACAGATGAGGGCAATGTCGTCTGCATACTCTAAGTCAAGAAGTCGTTCTCCTGGGAGTAGCTCCACACCTTCCAAGTCATGTCCTGTAAATGCAATCTCCATGACTTCATCAATTGCGAAGTTGAAGAGGAAAGGTGACAGCGGGCATCGTTGTCTCACACCGCTGAAGATATTGAAGGGTGGCGACAGCCTGCTGTGAGCCCTTACTCTGCCCGTGCTACGCGCATATAATGCTTGGATAATATTTACATATTTCTCGGGCATACCTTTCCTGAGTAGACAATTCCAAAGGGCACATCGATCAACCGAATCGAAGGCACCTTTGATGTAGAGGAACACGACTACGGTGGGCCGCCAATATGTGTGACGGTGCTCCAACAACTGACGCAAGGTGAAGATGTGGTCGATGCAGCCACGACCCCGACGAAACCCGGCTTGCTCCTCACGAATCTGGCTTTCACGAGCGCCAGTCAGTCTGTGGAGAATTATGGACGCGAGTAATTTGGAGGCGATGGAGATCAGACTGATTCCTCTATGGTTGCCGCATTCCGAGCGCGAGCCGCCTTTGAAGATGGGAACAATAACGGAGCGGCTCCAGTCGGTTGGGACAGTTTCCTGCTCCCACAGTTTCACTAGTAATTCATGCAAAGCATCAACAAGAGCAGAGCCTCCAAATTTGAAGAGGGCTGGAGGAAGATCATCTGGTCCCGCGGCTTTGTTCAACTTCAACAGTCCGATCTCACGTTCGACTTCTGAGCGAGAGGGTGGATCCAAAGGGACAGCCCACGGAGCGGGGCGATCAGTGACCGGCGAATCGAACAATTCTTGCCGATTAAACTGCTTTTCAAAATGCTCAGCCCAACGCTCCAGACGTTTTGACAAATTGTGGATAGGCTGTCCGCTCTCGTCACGTATAGTTTCACTAACACCAGGTCTCCTGCTGCCCGTTTCCCGTATCAGACGGAATAACTTACGATGGTTGCCAAGGGCAGCGGCCACTTCCATCTCTGACGCACGATGAGACCACCAAGATTCGCGGTCTCTCTTCAGGCTAGCACGGAGTTTCGCCCGGAGCTCTTCGCGAGTTTCATTGTGCTCGCTTCCAGCCGGGATTTGCCGGCGAGCATCTATAAGTTCCAGAGACTGCGAAGAGACCCAATGTCCATGTTGTCTATTAGACATACCCCATGAGGATTTTCCTACTGCTAGTAAGATCTGGCGAACATGTGACCAGTGACCATCAATTGTCTCCTGTGAACGCTTGCTCAACTCGCATGTTAGCGTACTTCGATACGCATTCAGAACAGCTGGCTTTGTCAGTTGGCTGGTGTCAATACGCTCACAGCGTCGTCGTGGGCGTCCGCCAAAACGCATCCGCATGTCAGCACATACAAGTGCATGATCGGTGTCCACACATGTGCTCCAAATCGAGCGACAATTCTGGATGCAGCCTCTCCAGCGGTAACTTATCGCAATGTGATCGATCTGCGTGCAAGGCTGGTTCGAGGTTGGTGGGCGCCAAGTCACCCTTCGGCGGGTGCTGTGTCGGAAATTAGTGCTCGCAAGAAATAAGCGAGCATCTTCACACAAATGAAGTAACCGCTCACCGTTATCATTACGGGAGCCTACACCGTGTTGACCGCCCAGATGCAGTTCATCAGTGGACAACTTTCCAACTTGTGCGTTCATATCCCCCGCCAGCACAACAGTGTCCGTGCTTCTTCTGTGGCGAAGGAGCTGGGTCAGTTGGCGGTAGAAGTCGTTCTTTACCGAATCATCGCTACAGTTTGTGGGCGCATAGGCAGCGACGATGAATAGACATCTATTAGTCCCGCGCGACTTCGAAGCTTTAAACGAGCCAGCCAATCGGACCGCACACATCCGGCTACTGATTGGAATCCAATCAATTAGAGCAGCTTCAGCCCGGGGACTCAGGGCAATACCAACACCGGCTTGGCCGGTGCTCGAAGCTGCATCGTCACCGGATAGGCGCAAGGAGAAAATACTGCTTGCGTCCCCTGAAGGGGATCGCAGAGTGAGCACAGTGCTCGAGTCTTGCAGGCGAGTCTCTGATAAGCAGCAGATATCGATCGAGAGGGTCTCCAATGTTCGGGCAAGTGCTGCCTGTTGACCGATTTGTAGCAGTGTGCGTACATTGAGGCATGCCAATCTGAAGCAGGATCGAGGGCTCCAAATGGAAGCCGATGAACTGGATTGGACCGCTTGGTTGGACATGGGCTTGTCGACAGGAGAGGAGTGACGCTCCGCGTTCACGTTTGAGTTGAAATTAGAAGGTAAATGCCTAGCAAAGCATGTTGGGGGAGGGCCAAGAATCGGGGGGTTGAAAACTGGGGGGATATAAGTGAAGTTGGGACGGTAAGAGTGAAAAACGTAAGATGGGGAATAAGAAGACGGGAAGGCTTGAGCAGTAGCATCCAAACCCCTATCCACCCTGCTCGATGCAGCAGATAGGGCACCGTTGATTATCCTCTGCGGTGGCCAGAGCATCAAGAAATTGTTTGAAGGAAAATTCATGGTATTGCGTGGGCAGGATACTGTCAGGTTGCCCAGGCCTAGACAGGAGAACGATTAGGGTTCTCAACCAAAGCCTTTGGTTCAAAAACCTGACCGCAAGACAGCGGGTTTGGCGTTGGGCTACAAGGAGTCCATTTTAAGAAATAAGGTGCCACCCTCATTCCAACCCCCAACCTGGAGGACCAGGAGGCTGAGTTTGTCTGGCCTCTAACCATTGACCAATCTGGTATGAGTGACTCTGAAGGTGCAAAAGCACCACCCAGCATGGCTCAATGGATCACTGAGGCACACAATCCATCGCACCACGGTAAGGTCCAGCCTCATTGCGATGGCCATCAATCAATCACTACGCGAGCTCGTTTGATGACAGCGTAGATCGGTGACACCGATTCAGTGCTGCAGTACAGTTTAAAAGAATGAAGCATACACTGAAACATGCAGCGTTTGTGCACCGAATGGGCCCGGTTTCAAGAGATCCGCGTCGTCCTAGAAGTGTAAATTTGACCCTAATCAGACAACCAGTAAGAAAACACAAGAACAAAGAAGTAGGGGTCGTTAGGACCGGCGTCTTGCTGGATCTCATTGAAAAGTTAGGGCTATGACATCAGCGTACTTGGCAAGTTAAGATGACCCAATGTACGGTTCTGAGATGGTGAAGGAGCGACTGAATTGCAGTTCGAAGTACCAAGTCTAATATTCAATCTTACGTAACCTCATATTGGTTATTCCCTTTTCCCGGTTACTGCGTCACCCATAAAGACCCAATAAACGGGTTGAAACAGCACTCAGTTACTACAGTTGGCACTAGCTTCCTCATAGGTCCTGTCCAACTACCAACAATCAAGGTGAGTTCTGAGACTCATAGACGGTCGCGTGAGTGCCATGAACGCTTTGAAACTCCGGTTCAGATAGCATGCAGTACCAATAGATGAAGCAAGGCGATGCAGATGCATAGCCAGAATGTGGATAATACAATTAACAGAAGCATGGTGTTCAGTGGAGATGCCAGATACACTGTTTGGATTATTGCGTTATAACGTCTTTCGCAGTGACCATCCTGGTAAAGCTGCTGGCTGTCTAGTCTATGTCAAAGACACATAACTATTTATCACAATACCATAATTGTACTTGCACAACGATGAACTCCTTAGAATGTATTTACAATCCATCTTATTCCTACCAGTCCTGCACTCCCATCTAACCAATACCGTTTTCTTCTCCTTTGGTGCACTGTTTCGGAGATGAACTATGCCTTCCGAGCTGAAATCTCTGCATGGTGGTCGTCGTTGTTTGCGATTGTCGTGTCCAAATACTTGCCTTGTTTTTGCCCTCGGTTCGCTTAACCTACTCACACTTCTATTTAGCATTCGTTGGCCTACTATGTTACCTTGCATTTGATTGGTTGCAATGCGAACCTCTATCGATTTAATTGTACTGCGCGTGTGTGCGACAGTTTCCTGCATACATACGTTCCGGTGCTACGCTGGTCTGCTGCTTTTTCGAGATACAACGGCCATCATTTTCCATCAAATTGTGCTTGGCCTATTAGCGTAAGATTGTAAACAATATTATGTTTTATATTCCTCATAATTATTTTCTTCTTTACTTCACTGTTGGTCACGACTGGGCCGATATCTTAAGGTGACGGATTCCAAATTCAAACAAAAACATTGTAACCATGCAATGTACACTGCTGCTGACTCGCTGGTAAATAACAAAAAGTGCCATACTTGAATGATCCACATGACGGAAAGGACTGAGGCTATATTGCCCATAATGCATGCATAAAACACCTTACAAAATGATACAATTGTGAAACGAGAGATAAGTTACATGCTGTTTTGTCACACCGACACACAGCCAGTTGGATCATGGAAGTGCGGATGAAACCCATTGAGGGAATACTCTGCATGAAAGCAGATCCCCTGTTGATGTGTTACTTTGTCGTATTACTTTAATTGAACTTTTGGTTAAATCTGAATTTGTTATTGTTCCCGGTTTCTTACTCTATTACTTTCCAACAGCCATTCACTTCAGAAACCCATTTTGGACGCGTTGCATAAAAGATGAAGGATCGACTAGCTTATGCGATGGCGACGTACAATATGATCAGTCCACTCAGTCGGATCGTGCCGCGCATCGTCGATGAATAAAACGTTTATTTATTTATTGAGTCACACTGTAGTCACTATCCGAGGATGACTGCCCGGTTGATGCAAGAATTGTAACGATTCTGGTTCTAGCAATCGGATGACGAATTTCGATTGCTTCCAGCACGAGTTAGCAGCGTTCTACGCGTTGGATATTCATCACACGAGATGAACCATAATGCTTTATTCTGTCGGCCGCATGCGCAATCAAGTTAATGATGACGCGAGTTCATGCCTAAAATATCGTTCGATGATGAACATTACCGCGTCCCTACATCGCTGGTGGAGCGAGCGAAGAAGGCAATAGCGGGTGAATCTCTGTGCTGATTAGCCAGATGAAAGAAAGTGGACAAAACATTTGTTACTGTTTCATCTCAGCAAGAAAGCAAGATAACTGAACAAACGAACTTCAGTGAGAAGATTAAGGCGGCATCGCATGTGTGAGAAGTAACGCTTGGATACGCCATGTAAACTGCATACACAGTGGAACAAAACGAGGCTGGAGGCGAAGGAAGGGATTTCAGACGTAATTCACCTTTTCCAGCGACAAAAACGAAGGGAACGTTTCGCCACCGAGCGTTGTCCACTCTCATCACCATGCACACATATGTTGAAGTGATGGAGTCTACAAACAGAAAACCGACGAATGCAAATTAAATATACATCACAAACGGCCGAAACAAGTAAAGTGAGGTATATTACAAAGGTGGATGACGAGGAGCATCAGTTGTGAACAAGAGAGGATGAAGGTATTCAGAATGGGCCTAGTTAATGCACATAAAAACGGCTGTTCGAATCGTCTGGTGATTCAAAAAATCATTCGTGATGTGCCCACCGAGAAATTCACGTGAAGGAGTTGCTGACTTTCGACGCCTGCCTAATAGGTTACAGAATAACACTGTCGACTTCCGAATAGGTGAATACGTGTTTCTCTACTTGAACTGGGTCAGTAAACGAGCCAGCTATTAGGGAGATTATAGTTAATAATGAGAAATTCATTTATGGTCGACACCGCTTTCAGCTAACACGATCAGACAATTGCCATCCATACCCATCATTGCCGAGGGATATACCCATAGAAAAACACTGAGTATTCGGCGTGGTTGCTCGGTGCCTGGTGAGCGAAATCGTCGCTGAGTCGGATTGTGTATTTTTAGCGAGGCATACGGCTATCTTCGGACATTTGGAAGACCTAAAAATGACCAAGCTTTGGAATAACGGTTTATATAGCTGCCTGCACTTTTCGTCAACCTAATTGTGCAGTCTATTCCATTATATAATTGGTGACCCCGTTTTGAATTTAGTTTTGGCTTTTAATCTTTTTACTTGAAGGCTCAGATTCCCACTTTTCGGTTACTCGTCTAAAATTTTCACTGACCGAATTCACTCTTGGTTTCCGAAAACCTTGTGGGTTTCTCAGTTACGGGATTCGAAGCTTCCTACCCGAATGTTTGGTTTTTACAGTCCGAAGCAGCTATTCAATGTCGCCGTATCACTTCTCATTTTATCATGTTTTTCACGTTGTCTCGAATTTCCCCACGCATATCGCTGCCGATGTCACAAAGTTACTCGCCCACATCCCATCCGACACGCCTTACGAGAAACTGAAATCCGCCATATTGAAGCGCACGGCAGCCTCTGACGAAGCGACGCTTCAGCAACTACTGTCAGGTGTCGAACTTGGCGATCGCACACCATCACCGCCTCTTTGATACATTCGTTCCCTTGTCTGATCCGCGAAAGTGGATGACAGCTTTCAGCTGTGAAGCAAAGGTCTTTCATCAACCACCCGTACGATTCTTGCTGTTTCCGCTGATGATCTCTCTTTATACATTCTGGCAGAGAGTGCCGATAGAACCCGTGTTTCTCCGAACAACCCGCTGTTCATCCCGAAGACACCTTGAACCAGCGCTCTTAGCAACGACCTTTTTGAGTCAGTGGGTAACCGTTAGTCAAAACGAGCTCACACTCGCTAGTATGCAGCGCACGCGAAGTGGAAGTCGGCGATTGTCCCCAAGAAATAATCACCATTTGTTCAGAAATTCATCACGCCATTTATGTTACTATCATTGTCGATTTGGCGATAATGACAGGAAGCGTCGACCTGGTTGCCCCCATACCAAAGCACCGTGCAAACAAGCACTGGGCAACGTCTGAGTAATGAGGATGGCTGAGTCTGGCCTAACTCCCTGTCGTTTCCTCTACTTCCACGACTCATCAGCCAACCATCCTTTCTTGCTTGACACCGGTGCCGAAATCAGCGTTCTACTGCGCCAATTCGAAAAACGCTACCTTCTTCTCACCGGCATTACTTTACAGGCGGCTAACGAGAATTAGATCCCTACGTATGGCCAAAAACTCCACACTGGATTTGGGACTCAGGCAAAGTTTTCCCTTCATCTTTCTAATAGCAGACGTCCAGCGTTCTATCATTGTTGCTGATTTCCTCACAAACTTTGGTCTGATAGTGAAACTGAGCTGTCGAAAGCTACGCGACAGTTCCACGTCCCTTAATGTCAATGCCAGAGTCACCTACAGCAGTTGGATCGGTCTTCGACTGGCACTACCTACTGACAACGTGTTCAGTAACTTGCTCCGCCAGTTACCTATGCTTACGAGTCGTCCGGCGAATTTCTAGACCCTAAGCACGAGATTACGCACCCTATCATCACAAAACGATCTCCAATCACTTCCCCACCACGATGGCTAGCACCCAACAAACTCGCCACCGACAAGGCCGAGGTCTAACACATACTAGGCTTAGGAATCGTCCGACCATCCAACAGTCCATGGTCATCTCCTCTACACATGGCACCTAAAAAGTCGAGCGGAGACTGACGACCATGCGGAGATTACCGTGCACTGAACAACGCTACTGTACCGCAAAGGTACCCGATCCCGCATATTCATGACTTCTCCCTCAGTTTGCATGGCAAAAGCACTTTTTGCCAAATTGATCTTGTCCGAGCCTACTACCAAATTCATTTCGCTCCGGAGGACTTACCTAGAACTGCCATAACTACACCGTTCGGTCTCTACGAAGTCATCTGAATGCCTTTCGACCTGCGTAATGCAGCTAAGACAATTCAGCGATTTTTTGACCAAGTCCTCAGAGGTCTTGGGTTCATATCCGCATACAATGGCGAGATACTTGTAGCCAGATGGAGTCATGAAGAATATTTGTCTCATCTTTGTTTTACTTTCGAGTGTCTCACCCAATTTCGCATCATGATCAACGCCGATAGGTGTACATCTGGCCAGTCATCTGTTGACTTTCTTGGCCACCGAAGTGATCACGACGGTATTAGTCCGCTTTCTGAAAAGACAGAAGCCATCGCAGACTATCCGATGCCTCAATATTTCAAAAGTTTACGCAGTTTTCTTGGTAAGGTCAACCAGTACAACCGCTTCTTTCCGGAGTGTTCTATGCTCCTTCAGCTATTGAGAGATCTACTCAAAGTCTCTCAAGTTTTAACTAACTGAAGAAGTCATAGCAGCATTCGGCAAGATCAAACACGCGCTTTACAATGCTAATTCCCTTAGTCCTGTGAGATTGGAAGTCGTCACATCCTTAATTCTCAAAAGCGATGCATCTCAAACCGCAGTTGGCACTGTTCTTCAACTGGTTATCGACGGTCATCTGAGCTTCTCTCTATCTTCTGTCGAACGCTACAACCTCCTCAGACCTAGTACATTAATGGCGGCCGAGACCTCAGCCATTTATCTCGCCGTTAAGCACTTCCGCCATTTGCTTAAAGAACGTACACTTACCATCTTCACCAATCATGAGCCATTTACTTTTGCTTTCCGTGGTTCCCCTGATCGCATGTCAAATAGAGGAATTCGTCAGTTGGATTACAGTTCCCACTAACATTCGACACATTGAGACAGCTTAAAATGTTTTAGCTGACGGTATGTCCCGCATTGGTCTTCAAGAGGTTTTGCGTCGAACAACCAATCACTACTAGTTGGGGAAGGAGATTGTGGTGAAGTTTCACCATGCGAACCCGCAGATTTCACATGCTGTGATGTGCTACACAGTGTTAGATGCTTGACGCATAACGCTTCGTGTACAGCGCCTAAGTAATGGACATATACCACCGATAATGATCTGTTAGTAATGATATCGAAACTCATTTTCAGGCAAACAGTGAATCGATTGAGGATGTATTAATGATTGAGCGCATGAAATGTGATGTAGAGTACACGGTGAAATCGAGTCGGGATAGTGATCAGAATTGTGTGGCTGAATACACCGTCTTGTTATCTAGAATGCGATCAATCAAACAGCCAATGTGATAACAGATGGCCCCGTAGAATTTAGTGAAGCGAACAAGAAGTAGGGGCAGATGCGAAATTCTACTTAAACGTTAAAGGAGAGTTTTGCAACAGTCAACCATGCCAACATTCACTCATCTTTGGGCACCGTCGGATCATCCGTGTAGGACATGGAAGCCGGGGGACCGTCAGCATTAGGATCAGCAACATACTGGCCAATGACCACATCCTCAGGTGCAACAGGAGGCACACAGCGAAGTACTTTTACCTAGAACGCATAAAGAGAGATCATAGAAACCATGTTCTCCTTCAGATGCATAACAAGGAAAGATTGTTAGCTATGCGAAACGAACTCCATTGAGTGCAAAAGAGGATAGAAAGTGTAATGGCACTGTATACAGGTTAGGTACGCAGTATTGCTAGTGCCATCTCTAAGGTCGAACTAGGTGGACATAGTCTCTCAAAAGGACAAGCGGTTATCAGTATTCTGGTTGAATCACTGACTTGGTTACTGGTGGTGAATGCATTTTGCATCGCACGATATGGTTTCAGGAGAAGTGTATAAGATTGGGGTTCTCGCACCGAAACGACGGATGTACAGCAACCCACCCTATTGATGGTGGGTTGCTGAAGATCTGTTGTTTCGGTGCGAGAACTCTAGTCTGTGAAACAATTATCTGTATATTGCTGTTTGCTGACGACTGTGAGTTGTCTGCACAAAGCGCGGATGAGTTGCAGCACATGACTAGTGCTCTGGCTTCGACAGCAGCCAAATTCGAGGTCACCAGCAACACTAACAAAACTGTCCGTCTCTTTCAGCCTTCACCGGAGGTGCAATCTTCACTATTGACGCAAATCAGTATTGGCGCTGAAGTGTTAGAAATCATGTCCCGCTTCTGTTACCTTGCGAGTGTGATGTCGACTGACCAGCAGCTTCACAGTGACCTTCATATCCGCGTCTCGAAGGCAGCGGTGGCATTCGGGGAGTTAGAGTACCGAGTGTGGAACAACCATCAGCTTACCATTGTCACGAAGCGGATGGTATACAAATCCATGGTGCTGTTCGGCAGTGAAGGGTGGAGGATGTGCCGTCGATATGTGCGATATCTCGAGCGGTTCCATCAACAATGTTTGCGAGGGATTCTGCGCATCGGTTGAGGCGAAAGAGTTGTGGACACAGAAGTGTTGCGATAAAGTGGAATGTATGCAGTGGAATGCATACTTTTACTGAGACACCTAAGGTGGCTCAGTCCTGTGAGCCGTATGGATTCGACGCGGATACTGAAGCAGCTTTTGTATGGTCAACTGAATGTGGGGAAGTGTCAGGAGGGGAAACCGAAGCTACGTTACCAGGACATGATCAAATTGAGCCTCTCGCGTTCTAATCTTGATTGCAGATCATGGGAATCGAAGGCGGTTGATGGGCATGCATAGCGCGATCTGATCACATAGGCAATTGCAGAGGTGCAGGAGAAAGACCTCATGCATGCGGAGAAGAAGCGGCAATTGTGGGAGCGGCAGGCGCCGATGGGTTGTACTCCATCGACATCGACCGCATGTGCTACAGCACCATGCGGTCGCGAGTGCCTGAGTCAGGCAGGCCTAGTGAACCATAAGCAAAGCCATTCGCGGCCAACACCGAAGGGATGACGGGTCCTACAGAGAAAGTAGGCAGAATCGGCGCAGCGTTTGTAGGTAGGCTGCATTCGATTTTCAATTTGCTGACCTCTTGCTTGCATACTGAGTCTCTTTATTTCAGGTGGTGGACTTGCTATATTGCCTCTTTAATGGCTACGCGAACTATCTTCTATTACCTTGCACACATCGCTCAAGGTAATGATAGTTATGTTTGATAACATTTTCGCGTTTGTGGCACTTTCCTAAAATATATTTTCTGACGTCTTTTAACTATAGTGGATATTTTGGCAACCAATTTATTTTATATGCTCATTTACTAGTAGTTATGTTGACCTATCTGTATGCGGTATTCGATTTATTTTATTTTATATTCTCCTTTCAAGTGCTTGACTATTGCTTGCTATCCCCGGTGTGGCTGCGCTTGATGTGCATGTTGACAAAGTGCCGACCATCTCGTCCATATTGACTACAGGAGACAGTTGGTCATTGCTGGAGGGGACGGGGTGCACGGTCCTTGTGGCCGGGCTAGGCTCGAAGAGTGGTCCCATGCACTCAGTGTGAAGTGGACTACGGTCCAGCCACCGCCTTGTGTGCGCTTGATTCCCAAATACAGTGTGCTTGTGTGTGCCTGTGAAGGAGTGTGGGCCAGCTCCGTTGATGAAACGTGGCTCCCATCCACATGCCTCCCGGTGTTATTCCTTCGGGTTTACACTGGATGTGGGGTGTGTGCATGGACCTGTGAGTGTTGCAGCGCAAGCCATCCATGATCCATCTGTATGCGCAGGCGTCCTGTGGCTGGCCACAGTGAGAGGCAAATCCGAAACCGGATGCCGCCAACCATAAGACTAGGAGTAAGTTAGCATATATTGACATAATTTTGCAGATGGATGACAAAATCAACGTTGCGCAGGCTGTGCGTCACTGAAAATGTCTCGTGCTCCATTGGTTGTACACCGATGTTCGGACTTGATACAGTTGGTCACCTATTCGGACAGCGTACTCTGGTGGTAAAAATAATGCATCTGTGTTCGTTTCGATGACTTTGCATGGAACGCGTAAGAGTCCCCAGCACAGCACGGGCGTTTTGAGGACGGAAATTGATTGCCACATGTTCCTCGAATGATTCATACATGAACGATTATCAGTATTTCGAATAATTGGATAAGTCGCCTGACAAAAAACGTGGGGCATGGCAACTCCGAACCTTAGTGAATGCGTCTTGGTTGGTAAACTAAAATGTAGCGACCAGTAACAATACAACCGGCAGACTGCAACAATATATGAAAGAAAATCATTCATGGTCCTACGCAGTACTATCTTAATCGGGTCGTAGGAGAGTTTATGTAGCTAGCTATTGTTAGTACAACATGAACGTAAGACGAAAAAGGAGCATTTGGGCACATGTGAAGGTGAACTGACGTGGACCAACCATGTGAGTGGGGTCCAATTGTGGGCACCCCAAAACAATACAAGTGGTCCTAATGCATACACATCCGTGCATCGACGAATTCAGCCGAAGTTCGAGTGCAGTCGGTGAAAGGTGGGCGAAGCCAACGCACTAGATTCCGTTACAGTACATATAAAGCAACAAAGGAAGGAGTATACTGATGACGAGCTTGAGCCGTAGTTACTAGCTGACCGGTGACCGTGAGAACGCGCATGCCTGACAGCGCAAAGTGGAATAGGGAAGGGTGTCATTGAGTATGGTCACGATAGCCATAATTGCAGTAGGGATAGTAAAGTAGATGCGAGTGTGGTTCACATGAGAATGAGGCGTTGAAAACTTTTGAGACACAATACTTGGTAACGCGATGGAACGAAGTTCCACTAAGAAACATCGTGGCTTTTGAACGATCTGAACTTAGGTTTGAAAAATAGGGAAGCTGAGTCTGGAGGACGCAGGCGCGCTTGAAGAGCAAAAGTGAACGACGAAAGTGAGGCGTGCTACGGTTAAGAGGACCATGGTGAACACGCTCCGTAGGAAATCGTCAACAATCATCACAATTGATGTTAAGAAGACAAGTATACCTCTATGAGGAAGCTACATCCACGTACAAGGAGAAGAGATGTGTTGCATTGCGACACACAGTAACAGAGAAGCCTCCTTATTACTACCAATGTATCCAATAGATGTTGATTCAGAGCGGAAGAATAAAAGGCAGCTGATCCAAAGGCGGAAAGTAAACATGCGTCCAAGATATCAACAGTGACACAAACACAAACTGATCTAAGTTTTAAATGAGCACATGAATTTAGGTGTCAAGTACGGATAACATAGATACATGTCGTAATAAATTAGTCAACTGCAATGGGATGCAAAGATTACCTTCTCGTCACGGATATCATCTGCTTTCAGAGTTCGGGGAGTTTCCATTGCGATCAGGCATAAAACTTGTATTAGGTGATTCTGGACAACGTCACTGGAAAAAGTAACCCATAGTATAGTAACGGTAGCAGGAAATCAAAGCAAGATTGGTAATTGAAAGCATAATAATCTGGATCTGCTGTTAAGGGGTTTACGGAAGATCTTCATTGCTGGTAGATGAAAGGTGGACAGATGAGTAGGGTACCGGTCGTGTGAGTTAAACACGGGTTTCATGGGACAAAGCAAAATATTCGATAACGACAACACCAAATCGAGTGCAAGTGATGACACGATTGGTCGCACTAACAGGAATTTACGACTAAGTCATAGAGGCTGAGTAAACAAGTTGCTTGTGACTCCTGGACGTGGTCTCCACCGAGAACAAAGATTAGTGCAATCAGCATGCGCAATCGCCGGTAGACGACAATCGCCAAGTGTGGAGACACGTCAACAGAATGCGCCTGGACCCATGATGGAGGTCGCGCGTCATTTTGCGCGAGGGAGGTGTTACGGAGAGTCAGCTTTCAGGTCGAGAGCAGTACCGCAACAGTGGATCGATCCACAGTTAGAGATAGAACGCGAATATAGATCAAAATGCGAATCTATGAGGAATCAACGGCAAGTCGGACCATGAAGTTGAACCGTTTTAGTTGTGTTTATTAATATTAATTAGCATCTCCAATTTTATTGTGTCAGTGGTTTCCTACAACCTATTTATTACACTATGCTCTCATACAAGCAGAATCAGAATCAAAATCAGAATCCGGATTCCTCGGACCAGCTGGTCTTGGTGTTCTCATTTCGTGCCCGGTTGAAGTGGTTGGGGGCGGCACAGCAGATTCAGGCAGGTTATCCGTAAAGTCAGCGGAAACCACAACACATTTCTGGCAACGGTCAGCTGCACGGTAGCAGTAGGTTAGCCGTACAATCAGCGGCACCACAACACTAAGGGCATCAGTATGGTTCGGGATGAAATTGGGTGAGTAGGTGAGTATGACGAAATGAGATATAGTCCGAAGTTTGGGTAAAAAACACATGGCACAGTGCGGACAATGAATGGTTTTTCGGTAGAACCAGAGGCATCTCGTAAAATTTATGAGACAATACAGAGACAAAAGAAGAAGCAGCAGCTAACTGTTTTATCCTTGATCATATATTTCGACGTGAAGAATGAGTGATGGAAGTAGCTTCAATAAGGACAGATAAAAGATTGACAAGTAAAATGTACAAACCGGAAGCCTAAGAGCCTTTCCCACAGTGTGGGCTCTATAAGGTTCCGAGACATACTCGGAATGAAACGGACAGAAATTTTTACGCCACAAGATGACCAGTACTCGCTAATCGCCCAACATAATGTTAATTAGGTGCAATAGGCAGAACGCGGGAGACTACACTTTGCCACCGGTTGTGTCTACTTTCAATTGAACTGTAAGCGGTTAAGGGCAACAACCGGAAACTTCCAGCTTCGCTAGGTCTCGTCAGGCGGAGTGTCTGATGTCATCTTACCGCTAAAGTTTAGCGCTCATACACACTTGTATTGGTCAGTTAAAGGATGACGCGGAATTGATCACCAAAGTAGGGCGATCAAAACGACGAGGACACTGTTTCACACACACACACTCACACGCACATTCACACGCACACGCACACGCCATTTGTGCACGGAAGTTGGCAGTGTAAAAGCGCGCTTTGGAAATGGATGGTCAAGCAGAACAACTCAAACGTGTTCTATGCGAAGTCCAAAGTCAAACTAGAAAACTGTTAACAAGAAACGAAGACACATATCATACGATTGATAACGATAGTAAGACTGCCGTTGACCAAAACTGGGCGGTAGTATTTTTGGAGCATCGGGTGAAAGTCACCAGATAAGAGTGAGATATTTGGTGGAGATATTTTGCTTGCGGCAAAACATCGGATCAGTAGAATGAATCAAAAGAAACTAAAGCATACTGAATGTAAGGCCCCTCTATGAACCAGCGGCTGCGCTGTGTGGACCGTGTTAAGTCAACACGCGTAGATTCTATTATGCCGCTGTGTTCGAATGAGACAAATAACAAGTTCGGAATTGCTAATGAGTGTTTGGAATTTCCCTCACAGGCATAGCTGAACGAATGACGATTACTGATCCATCGGTACCACGACGCATAGACACTGGATGCACGACGAGGAAAACCACTCTGCAAACAGTGACACCAAAGAAAGTGATAAAATGAGACGAAACCTTGAATCCAAGGCAAAACTGTGACCCCAAGAAACAGTACTGGCCTTCAGCAAAAATACTTTCACTGACCTAAAACTAATGCGGAATACAGTTGTCCACTCACCCGCACTTATGGCACAACGAATCCAACCGCGCGGAACATGTGGTTGACTAGATGAAGATGTGTGAACCGATCCCATATGATCGCTGCGAGGGCGTACTTCAGAGAGCGTATATGCCCCACGGTAACAAAGGCTGGCACAAAATGCAGCGTCACTAAGGGCTGCGTATGGTATTCAGCATGCGAAAGTGATGGATGCGTATAGTGCTCAAGATCATTTTATCACGCTTTACCTGGATGTTATAAGTAGCCCAACCATTGTGCCCACCGATTACTCACCGGGCAGGTAAAGCAGCGAAGAAAGAGCAAGCATCAGATGTTGCCAAGATGCTAAATAACACGCGGAAAAGCAGCTGAGACTAAAAGGAAAAATTTGGCCTAGTGGTCGAACTATAGGGAGTTCTCTTTCGACAGGTGAGCAATAAGACACTGTTTTCAGCCGTACGAAACCGCTCAGGTTTCAACCCTGAATAGACGGACAACATGCACCGAAGTTATTTGAATCCAAACTATGCGGTGGCTAAGAAAACGATCGTAGGGAGTACACAGCATACTATGCGTCGTGTGATTACGCGAAATGTCCACCAATATTGTCACCGCTTGAGACTGAAACTTAACGTGGTGTGACGGTTTGCGTACCTCTTTGACTTATTGAACTATACTGGGTGGTGTCCTTGGACTCCTTGAGAGCCACCCCTCCAAGGTTGGTCAATGATTAAAGTTCGGACGAACTCGGTATCCCATTCCTCCAGGTAAAAGTGGGTAATCGGGTGGCTCCCAGTTCCGTAAAACCGGATCGCAACCATCCCCCTGCTGTGTTATGGATACACTTTGGAGCCCCAGCGCTGTGATTGTGGACCCTAGTCGCTCTCCCGTCTAGGTTTGAGCTCGACGGCAGTATCTAAGCCCACATACAATCATAATTATCTCCTCAAACGTCTGCTACATCATCCATGGGCCGTCACGTAGCTTAGAAAGCGTCGCCTCTTTTAGTGCATACAGCAGGGAGGATAAGTGAAAACATGGTACTGCAGGCGTCTCCCTTTTTTCTTTTCTACCTGTCTCTCTTACTCCCCACCCAACCGCTATTACTTATCTAATTTTTACAATTTCTACCTAAGGTGACAACATCCCTGATACCACTGGAGTTCTGCCATCTGAAACTATAGCCTAGCACAACCCACTGGAGGCCTATCAGTAACTATCCCATAAAAGGGCAAGTTGTCCCGTTTCCTAGCGACGATTAAGGTTCTCACTATAAGACAAACTAGTCAACAGGCTGCACTTGCAAGCACTTTGGGCATGTTGGGTGTTGAGATGTGTCCGAAACTAGGATCAATGACCCTAATGGGGTTGTTGAATTAACTGTGCCCGGTTTGTCCTCTGGCTATAGGTTGCACACATCCGGAGATGCTGGGTTGGGCATCGTTCTCGGCTCCCAGGCTGACACATCGTTGGTTGATTGGGTTACCGCGAGCAGCCGTTTGTGTGTAGTTTGTTGGATGATATCAACTAAGATTGATTCACGAAGTAGTACTAGACGCCGTTTGTTTTTGGTTTCCGCTTATGACCCTACCGACTGCAGTTCTGATGCTGTCAAAGACGCTTTCTACTACCAACTGAACACCGCTACGCAGTGCTACCAGTTTAGCTATCACTGTACTTGCAAGAGATATAAGTGCACAAGTAGGGCGTCTGAGCTCTTCAGAAGCTCACCAAGGTGTTAACCAAGGACATAATTCCGACCACACGGACAATGGCGAGCGTCTGTCGCATCCATGTGCGAAGCTCCGGCTGCATTTTATACTGCCGAAGTGGTAGCCGGCTGGTAGCTTACCGGAAGGATGCCCATCCGTTACCGGTAGCTCAGCTGGCTTGCACCTGTTGCATTTTCTCTCATTTTTTCTTCTATGTATTGCGGCACAGTAACTGAAGTGTTTCCCACCTCTAGCTAACGTGTATAATGATGATGATGAGCGCCGAAGTGTCACTTGACGTCCTCTATAGCCGTAAGCGATGGACCCTAATAGATCTCGTTCTCCTGTTACAGATGGCGTGGTTCCATCCTGGATTGCCAGCAGTTCTGGAATACTTGCGTCGACTTTGGTGACGTCTTGGTACTCCGTCGTTTTTCCATGAACTTCACCGGGAAACAAGCCTACCAGTATGCACTGCGTATCTAACTTTCGCTCGCTCGCCTAAACGACACCGAGCTTCAGTGGGATAGGATCTAGACTGCCATGCACGATGCAACAGACTACTTGCAGCACTATTAATCGTCACTGCACTAGTCAAGGAACGCTGGGGCAGCCTGTGAACCTGTTGAAATCTAGAAAACTCCAGGCTAGCTCTTAGGACATCTTAGCTATATGTAATATTAGGCACGAACAAAAGCGGGCTGAGAAGTTAGCAAGCGAACCAGTGCTGGTGTCGGATGACAGCAGCTTGTCCGCAACATTGATATGCGTAGGCGAGTACTAGGCAAGAATAATCAGGCTAGTTCATAAGAACAACAGATAGCACTGAATAAGTTGCGTTAGCTTGGGTAGATACTAGATATGCCCGATCACAGCTCACCAAGATGGGCCTTGTTTTGTCTGCCAAACGTAGGGTAGCGCAAGGCTCGAGGTGGAGAGAAGCTGACTTGACAGCAGGAAATGAAGTCACTGGCGACCAAACTTGGTGCTATCGGTCCGTCTAGCCTTCTTGGCTGGATCCTGCGTGACCCACCTTATGCTTGGCTCGAGACTTTAAAGGATATGGCTCGCAGTTGGCACCAGTGGTTCATCTGCTGTTCTCTCCTAGTCAGTCTGTGTTTAACTTGTGTTTAGTGCTAAGTTGTCTGCGCTGCAATGACTGAATATGTTGAGGGTCCGTGAAAGCCACAAGGAAACTGTCTCGCCAATGCCATTTTATCTCTGTGCCATAGCCAGCTGTATGTGAAGGTAGGTTGTTGATAATGTGCGGTCAGTTTGACCCTGAAAGTTTGCTTACGGCATCAAAGTTTTACTCTAGGTCCCCTTCTCTCTTATTATTCTTCGTTCCGCAGGGCCCTGTGGTTGTGTGGCAGAGGGACATCATCTGAAATAGTTGATATACTACTGTTATTGTTGTTCACCGAGTATGAGTTCCAAAGTCTTAAAAAATATGTGAGATGATAACATAACAATGGTAAATAACATATAGCTTTCATAATATACAAATGCCGTATGGAACCAGTAGCATAAGAAAGCGAAATACCTAACAGAACACCCCCTAATAATAGAACGGATTGAATTAATAAACTATAAAAGCCTTCAGCCTTTACTTAACTGTTTTGAACAGGTCGTTCGGATATGGACCCGTCGGTGTGACTGTGGTTTTAAGTACAGGTGGTCGTTTGTCACTATCCTCTAATTTCAAATGGGTACAGAATTCCATTGAGAAAAGAATCCGGTTTTAGGGAGAAATGCTTATAAAGTGAAAGAGCAACAAATATAAAAGCAAACGACTTTGGACAAGTGCTCACCGGATAATCCCATATGCATCAAAATAACCGCCCCGACCTTCAGTTCCAAAGGGCTCTTTGAGTGTTATGGTTACATTATGAATATGTTCACGGTTCCAGAGAGCGTGGAGAATTCTATTGGTGAACCTGGAGAGTTAAGTGAAGTTTATGCCCAAATTAGCAGGAACGAAGCTTTGTTAGAATTGGTTATTTCGGTGCTACTGGGAAGCATAAAAGGTGTATAGAAAATGGAAAATAAATTTAACGTATTCGTGAGAGCAACTAGCATGACGTGCGTGCGGGAAAAGGAAACGCTCAGTTTAGCAGACAGCATAATTCGACGGAAAACCGAGACGCGGCATGTGACACAATATCTTACGTGGTTGAGCCCACTGTCGTTATCCGTCCAATGACGCGATAATGATGTGGACAGGGAAGTGTAATGAAATCAAAGGATGGAACAGATATTATCATCATCATCATTATCATCATCATCATCATCGTCGTCGTCGTCGTCGTCATCATCATCATCATCATCATCATCGTCGTCGTCGTCATCATCATCATCAAAACGCGTTAGCCGAGGGTGAGAAGCAAACCACAGCTAGTTTGTCACAATACAAAAAGGATAAAATAGTAAACAAAGTAGACTTAAAAGCTGAAGTATAATTAACATAATGCTAATTGTCACATTTGAGATTGTTGTTGGAGGGGGAAACTAAAGGGGAGGGGATGGACAAAAACGTTCACAATACAAACGCCATTGAGGGCGGCTCTTCGCCATCTCAGCAAATACGTCCAAACCAACGTGCTCATCGTCCTTGTGACCACATCCCGACAGTTGAGAGACAACAACCGACGGCAAATTCGAAATAAAGGTCTCCATTCCTCTAGATCAAGTCATCGCTTGACCTCACCTCCTCCGCTTTTATCCACTTACCCGGCGCCGAAACCACTCATATCGTGGGAGTCGGTGTGTTAGCATACGCAACTCGTGATCTAACCATCAAAGCCTTATTTGTCATGCAATGTTGCCGAGCGGTTCACGCGCTCTTCTTGCACCAAATACACGGCGCCGAACACATGGAACAGACGTTCGGCCGAGAAAGCCGGTTTCAGAGCCCAGTTAATCATACATAACAAGTGTTCAGAAGAGGTGGTGATGTGGATAGCTTAGTTATTCTTGTCACACCGGCACAAAACCAGATGTGTCATGGAAGTACTGATGAGAATTTTCGAGGGAATACCCTGCATGAAGCAGGTCTCCAGCAGACAGTTCCCCGGATAGTCGTATTACTTCACTTGAATTTTTTTCAATAATCACTTTCCTCTTACTCCCAACTTCTACGTCTTTGTGACATTTCTAGCCGATCGAACATCACAAAAATACCGCTGGGAAATGTTATGTATAAGTTGAACAAATGTCTATCCCTTGCGATCCTGTTGTAACAAATGATCACACCACCAAGTTGGGCTGTGTCTTGCAGTGGAGAAATATACAACTTATACAGGTGTCATGCCTCGTGTAATCGGGCATTAGGTCTGCAGAAATAGTGAGTCAGAGTGGAAGAAGATGCATAATCCGACAGAACGATAGCAGAACGCGAAAGTATGAAAAACATAAACACTCATAATGCAACGCATATGTCACACATCCCGCATTTGAATGACCAGCATATTGACTACTTATGTCTACTAATCGCGACAACGAGTAAAGCGAGAAAATGCAGGTGGCAGCATGAGTGCGAAATGTGCTGATTCGACTTACGGACAAAGTCCTCTTCATAAGTCCCATCAAACTTGATGACGGTGCTGCTCACTGGGAAGTCACAGTACAGACGTGAAGCCCATAAGCAGAACTCTACCGGCTGCTATTCCAAAACCCGCATCAGTGGAGAATCATTGTAGGTGAACCGAACGGACGGTGTTATCCAAGAGGTCAGCGAGGAGTAGAAGCGTAACTATTGTGCCCCTAATGGGAAACAGAAGCCAACCCGACTAGCACAGGACGTGTCAAATGCTACACTTGCAGATCTAAAGACAAAAAGGTGACTGGTTTGCGAGCCATTTTGAGTTCTGCAAACATACAGCTGCGTGAAGGTAGCAGTGAAAGGCTGTGCTGCTCTTAACTTATGTTCCGCTGTGCTAAAGACTTTCGCACACTCCCGCTGTTATAGAACATATCAATTGAAGCTAAGCACTTAAGCTCATCTGGGATTTAGATTCAAGGCAATACAAAGTTACCTTCAAGTGCCAGGTTTGGAGGTCGTCCTAACAATTCTGTAGAAGACGTTTTATTCACCGCAAGCGCGCTACAACACAAGTCCTGTGGGAGGCGCATCTATCCTGATGTCCCTTGGAGCCCGCGACAATCAAAAATAAACACCGAGGGACACATTATGCTAGATTGCCTAAACACAACCTCTATACGTGACGTGCCAGAGGCCGGACAGCACGAGTTAGAACTGTGGCGGTTCATTCGTGAAACATTTTTCATGAATAACATTCTGGCACTATCGCTCACCAAATTACAGAGGATGCAGCCATAGAATCCGAAAAATTGTGGTTCATTTGGAGCAAACAGTAACGAATGTCTCGGATCGATGGCGGAGAAATCAAAAATGCCTTCCTTCCAAACATCGGTTAAAGGCCGCGAAAGCTTGAAAAAGTTCAGCTATCAAAGCATCTGAAGTAGCAAAGTTACCGGTGATGATACAGGAGCTTGAGTTGACTGCTACTTCACTCCACTCTGAGGTAAGTCTAAACGAACATTGGGGCTCCACTTGACGGAATCAAGTTACAGACAAGGTATCATTATTCCATCAAGAAATACTAGTAACTGCAGACGTCCCATCCGTGGGTATTCTCCCACCCTTGACCCCTTTGTACCTTTTGTGGGCTTTAAGACACCGAGAAACCTAGCCTGCTTCTATACGAATGCTCAGGGTCTTTTCATTTAACTGACCGAACTGAAAGTTCGCCAAGATTCCGGGTCATATGATCCCATTGGTATTACTGAGGCAGGATTGCACACTGGATTGACGGACGCTGAATTTGCACTACCGGGCAGGTTGCTCAGCCGTAACGATAGACTCACAAAAGGAGGAGGCGTAATTCTGTATTAGCGAAGCGAATTATCGTGCGAAGCCATGGAGAATCTAGATTCGCACTTCGCCGACTCTCTTTGGTGCCGTTTGCAATTAAAAGACAGACACTTGCCTTATTGGCTTGGTGTACCGCACCCCTAACACTAGACCTGAAACTGACTACCACCATGTGGCTGCTTCAAGATGTACCTTAAAAGGAAGATAAACACCTCCTTATCATGAATGGTTTTAACGTACATTGTATAGAAACCCTTGCCACGATCGGAGAACAATTCAAAGCCGATCCACAGGAGCTCGTAACCACTGTTCCGCTGTACAGTCACGTCACTTCACCCACTCGGTTCAGAACAGGTAACAAGCCGTCTGTGCTAGATCGCGGGCCTACTAACAAAGAGCATATGATTGACGTGTTGTCTGTGAAATGCTCGGGTGGTCGCAGTGATCCCGCAGTCAGCAGTCTCAACTTCGTCTGATATGTGAAGTATCGGAATGAGAACGACGAGATTGTGCAAACCATCACAAGTTATGATCGATTAGCCCAGCTCATTAGCACGAAAGCCTGGTAGTTCCTTGCCGAAGAACCTTCGGAAGTCGCCTGGCTCGAGTTCGTCAACAAATGCAGTCAGCTGATTGCAGAGACTTCAGAGATAAGGGTTTGCAATAAGTCTACATCAGCTTCTTTCGTTAGGTGTATAACTCGAATATGAATGGCAATGCGCAACGCAGTACAGTGGGTGTACAAAGAAGCTCCAACGTCAGAAACTTGGGTCAACTACGTAGCCCCAAGTTAAGCACTGCACTCAATTTCTTAGAGAAGACAGCCGCATATCAGCAGAACCTTTTCTAAGACCATCAGTGCTAATCACAAACTGCTGTAGAAGCATGATAATGGCCTATAAAAGGCGAGGCAAGGATTTTCTCCACTCAGGACGGCCAATGGCCCAATGAGAACGGCTTTCGAAGCAGCGAACGCGCTGCAGATGCAATATGCCTCTGCGTTTCAGAGAGTCATTCCATCAAGTGATCTCCCAGTTTTTTGTATCCAGAGGTTAGGATTAACCCACATTATGTTTACCGCGAAGGCTGTACTGTAGCAGCTGAGGTGTCTACGCAAACACAGCCTGCCGGGTATCGATACCATTCGTCCAGAGGCACTGGGAGCAGCAGCAAGCCAACTGGCAGGACCTTTAGCTGCTTTTCCAGCGCTGCTTGGAGCAGAACCTGGTTCCTGTGATGTGGATGCTTGGAATAGGAATCCCGATTCACATAGGTGGTAGCAGAACTGAGCCCCACAACTACTGCCCAGCATCCCTTCTCTTTATACTCTCAAAGGTCATGCAATTCATTGTTCCCGATACACTGGTCTGTTAGCTGGAAAACTGCAACATCATCACGCCCGATCAGCACGGTTTCCGCCAGCAGCGATCACGCACAACAAAGTCAGTAACGCACGCAGTAGTTGGACCGAGTCAGCTGACGCTGGAGAAGACTGTGATGTGGTCAGCTTGGATTTTTGGAATGCTTTCGATTGTCTAGACAATCGGATACTACTTGGCAAGTTTCAGTATTTCAGGATGGGAGACTCTCTTCTAAGCTGGACTGTCAACTTCCTAGTTCAACGGCAATTAGCGGTCAGCGTTCGGGGCTCCTTATTGGACCCCAATACAAGTCGAATGTTGTGTGACGTAAGGTTCAGTTCTAGCTCCACATCTGCTTTCGGTGTTTAGTAATGACTTCCCACAGGTAATCGCTTCAAAGTTCCTAATGTTTGCAGACGATATCAAGATTTGGCGCGGGATCCAGTCGAACGCCGACCAGTATCTGCTTCAGAGTGACCTAGATATGGTATATCAATGGTCACCCAAAATTTACTGCATTTTAACGTGTGTAAATACAAGATGGTTTCCATCCGACATCGGAGCAGCTACTCATACCGGCTACGAACGAATATACTGCAACAGTCAGCTGTCGCACGTGACTTGGGTGTCCTGCTTCAACTTGGATTGGGTTGCACCAGACAATCCGAAAAGGCTCCAAAGACTGGAAACCAACACGTCAGGCTGCTGCGACGGGTGTTCGGACAAGTAGACAGCGCTATTTTTCGACAAGTGCTCAGTGCGGATGTTCACCCTTATGTCGAGTACTGAATTCAGGTCTGGTTAAAACAGGACCATAATCCACTGAAGCAGCCACAACATCTGGAATCTAAGAATGTAATTAGAATGCGCAACCTTTTAAATGAGGAACGGCTGAAACGATTTGGGGTATTCCGCGAGCGGTATCGCAGATTACGAGGCGACCTGATTGTGACATACTTGATTAGGCACGACCCGCATCATGTGTGCCACTCCTTATTGCAACTCAGAAGGAATACAAACCTGAGTGGTCACTCAATGAAACTCGCAGAACTGTATAGCCCTCTGGATTTCTGCAGGAATATTTTCCATTCGTGTCTGTCGTGAAATGCTCTCCCAGAACCGGTCGTCTCTGCACTGATACTAACAGCATTTAAAGGACGCTTGAATGACACACTCATCCACTTACACTTTGTTACTTAGCGCTACTCTTAGAGTGTACCTTGGATTTGTTTGATGTTAACTATGTGGGCTATGCATCGACTCGGATTGGTGAACCACAGCGGAGCAAACGAGAAGTCCTTTCCTACTGGAAGTACTGTTTTACTATTATTGCTATTATTATTATTATTGTTATTATCATTATTATTTTGATATCCCCACCAACTAGCCAACGGGACTTATGAAGCAGCGCTTCTTTGTTCGTTGTATTTGCACACGTCGTATACACTTGGGGCACCTTGTCCACCTTGTAATAACAGAAATTTCACTAAACATCGTGATGTTACTAGGGTTAGAAAATGGTCCAATAGCGTAATCAATATCTCGGAGCATTTCAATCGCATTGTCAAGCGACACAATGCTACATTAGACGGCTCTCTAAAGTTGGTAAGAAATGGTTAAAAGGGAGTGAACAGAAGGTCTAACGATACTTTGCGAACTCTTGGATTGGAGGGCGAATGGAGAATAGGATGTTCACAGTTCACGACCTAGGACGACCTTGAGAACAAATAGTACGGTGACACTGCTAACGAGTTCGAACGCAAATCAGTGTACAACAACATGTTAAGTGAAAGACTATTCGATGCATCAACAGCGAAGAAACTGGAGTAAACGCACCGTAAAATAATGAGATTTTGCACCATTTCCTTTCCCAAATAGTGGTCGATTCTGTAGATCTGGTCTTCAGAATACAATGCGGTCAAATGGTCAGATAGCTCATTTGAGGAGGCCAAATTATGCCCGAATGGTTTCTCAATAATCAAGCGAGCCCATGAAGAGGTACTGAACGTAGATGAAAGAACAGAAAGGTATGTGGAGTAATCACAAGCAGCTCTACGGTTGGAGAATGGATTGTCAGATAAAATACAGTGCGGGACTTGAGATGCAAGTATGGAGTATGAGACAAATCTCAGTGAAGAGGGTAAGATAAACACAAAAATTATGTAAAAGTGTTATTTAAACCCAGCGATGACATCTTGCCGTTCCTAATTTTTATGCAGTCACGTAAGGCGAACATAATGCAACAAGAGCGAAGGTTTAAACTAAATTCCGGTTACTGAGGTGCAAAGCACAAAATTGTTCTGCCGTTGTTTTGAGGTAGGGAGCTAAAGAAAATGCCTCACCAAAAGTACACGGGGTTTAATGACCAATTGTAGTGCAAAACGTTGTTGTTATTCACTGGTGAACCGTAAACAAGCTATCTGCGTGAGAACCGAAGAGTGAGCAAAAGCCCTGATCAGAGCTATAGCTTTTCCAATTAAGGGTGATCCATAATGTTCCCTCAAACACCTATGTAGGCCCATGTACCTTGCTTGGGACATGCCAGCGGTGTTAATTCCGTCGGCCAGTTTATACGGAATGACAACCAAACTTTGCACAACAACAACGAAATGACATGAACCCATCGTCTGCCGACGCGAACATGTATTTGCCTTCGGGACACAGCAGTTCGGAACTATGAGTTCCAAAACGTTTCCGAGTATACCCCAAGATACTCAATGCTAGCATTAAGTTACAGTACAACAAAGAACTGCGTGGGTCCGGCGTAGATACGCATCAGATATTTACCCCATGGTCAGCAACAATAAGGAACCCAAAGCAGAAAGCAGCGTCAGCGAATGTGCATGCTATCATCTAAAACGAATGTACCAAGTGAGGCGTGACGGATGGCCAGATGAACAATGTGCAGGTAGATTAATAAGGTGTACGGTTTCATTTAGAGCCAGTAAAATGAACCTCATATTCATAAGCGTGAACCATCGGCACATTACCATCATCAACAACAAGTGACTTTTCAGTGCTATCTAACGCACACACACACACACACATACAAAACAAAACATCTGACCAGTCGTTTGAATGACAGCTTGGAGGATTAAAAACTAATCTATGTGTACAGGACAAAAAAGTAGATAGACGTTTGCGCAGCTCATTCTGAAAAAGTGGCAGATGCGTCAATTCAGAGCTGGACCGCTTGGTAAGAAAACGGTTAAACGCACCGTTAGTCATAAAACCAGTTCAAGAACAGCTGGGAATGTGGTTTAACCAACTGAGCTCGTGGAATACAACTTAGTTGACAGGAATGAATTCCTATTCATAGTAAATCTGTTAAAGTCAGAATAGCCTATGAGCAGAGGAGCAGGTGAACCGGTAGACTATCGTTAAGTGGCGTTGATCAGGCATCCTGTCTCTGAATCTAGGAACAAAGAGTGAACTACCTGTAAAAATGACACTTAGTTGAGTTGCATTAAAGGTCTCACGGCAAGTCTGTATCAGTCGTCGTGTACACATCTCAACCGGTATGTCACCTTTAAAAGGAACTTGGAGAAATAGCTTTCTCCACCTTTTGTACACTTGGTCTTGGGCTAATAGTCGTTATATGAACGTCAACGAATGGTTCTGGATACCCGTTTTCGAGAAGTGTTTGTCTGATTCGCTTCATTTCCTCTTCAATTGTGTCCTTATCTTCCGTGCACGATTGGCCAGCATGTGTACCAGTGGTCTTTTGCGGCTAATTGCCACAAAACTTCGGAAGTGGGTGCATTGGCCTGTCTAATACGGCTTTCCATATACTATCTGAATTGATGCGTCCTCCCGTCGCATTAAGTTTGCATCCAAGAAGTGTATTTGGTTGTCAATTTTTCTGCAACTGAATGTGGCGTTGGGATGTGCCTTGTTAAAACACTCGACGAAATTTTGCAAGTTGTTCGTCTGCTCAATTATACAGGATATTTCGTCAACCTAACGTCGGTAGAAACGTAGGCCAATAACCGATTTTAATGGGCCATCCTCTAAAATTCCCATATATCAGCCAATAGTGGTCCGAGAGGTGATCCAATCGTTACCCCATCTACTTGTCTGTGCAATTCATTGTTGAATTGGAATTGGATATTATAAGTGCATCTGAGTAACAGATGCTTTAAATGGACAGTTGGTATTTCCATCTTTACCTTGTGCTGCTCAATGTAAGTACAAAGAAAGTTAACTGTTTCTATAAGTGGGACATTCGTCAACAGAGATAGGACGTCCAAAGAAAACATTCGATAGCCTAAGATGTTCATAGTTTTAAGGTTTTCCACAAATTGAAAAGTGTCCGTAAGTTGATGAGGGGCTATCATTTCCCTACTAAAATTCAAAATAGACGCTAACCATTTTGCGATGGTGTGATATGGTGAGTCCCTCATATCCAATATCGGTCGCAATGGTGCACCCAGCTTGTGTATTTTTGGGAGACCGTAAAGTCTAGGAAGTATGGAGCCGGTGGGTCTTATCCTTCATATTTTGCATTAGTTATGTGGTCATCAGTGACCAATGATTTCAGACACCTTGTCAGCTGTGCTTCTGTGTAATCTGTTTTGTCCTTCTTCGTTCACATTTTGCAAACTTGGAGGAGTATGAGAGGATAAGCTTCATTTTTTGTACGTATTCTGTGTGGTCCATGATCACGGCTCCTGATCCTTTATCTGGTTTGGTGATTATGATTCCCTTGTTTTGCTGAAGTTCTCTTATGATTTCGATGTGTGCCTTTGTTAGTAATCGGGAACGTGTCGTGGGGTATAGTTGATACTGAAAGGAAATGTTGACCAAGTCCGACTTAAATTGTTCATTAGTGTTGGAAGTAGCTACAAAATCACTTGTCTGGCTAAGTGCTAAATGCTAGTTACTTCATGTGCAATTGAAACACTTGAAATATCATCACCGTGTGTGTTCGTGTAGTTGTGTTTAAGGTCCTCGTCGAACGCCGACGTTTCATGGCAACCTCCCTTTCCAATTGGTCATGTGTAAGCCTGTTTAAGCCACAGTACATTGAGGTGAGCTTATTCTACGTGCACTTGAAGCCCAGTTTGCTGGCTACGGAATTTTGTCGTTGATTGATACGCCTGTACAGGAAGCACAGATTGTTGAGGTATTGTACATTGCCATTTTTAATTATTTGTAATAGTACCGTACGCCAGTGCCGGTCTTGTTTTGTTGAAACTGTTGGAAACGCGTTCACTCAAGGCTTCTAAGCGCATGGTTGCTTACACTCGGTGTCTTGAAAAATACGGGTATCCATTTCAGTAGACTTGCTCCGCTGCACGTAGCAAGATGGCTCGGATATATGCTGCGTATGCTATTCGATTATCCGTCACGTCGTGCTTCACCTGCTATGGTAGGAAGGCAATGGAAGCGATTTTGCCATAGTTCTTATACTAAGTAACGGCATAACATAAAACCTAGGACTTCTGGTTCCCCTGTTTATGGTTGCACGTGTATCTCGGGCTAGGGATGCAAGGAAAAAAACATTGATGGACAGTAGAAATTCAAGATGATGTGTAAAACGACACAGTGGGAGATTTTTGTGAATGTTTGCTTGAAAATATGTCAGTAGTTCTTGAAAGTAACAATGAAAAACTAATGGCCAAAAGATTCATAAATCTGTGGTTTTACAACAAAATAGAAAATTGCTGCTCAAATCCAAGCCAGTTTCAAGCTACTGCCTCATGCTTTCGCCAGTTACTGTACTTTTAGAACATGTTCCGTGGAATCTCATAGCTAAACGAATCAAAGCACCCTCTAGTTTCATCGCCGGACATATGCTTGATTGCCGCATATGTAAAGACCCGGGTGAATCATTTAGAATATGCAACCAAAAGAGCGCCGTTAGCCATTTTCAGTTTACCACAAATTCGGCGATTCGGTAGCTGAAACACACTTTATGTAAACAGAATGAGCTGGTTGCCAGCCTCACAAAGCCAAAGTGAGCCTATCAGCCAGATTTATCTAACCGAAAAACCGACCAGCGTCAAATGAGACTACACTATCATCTGTGCGCTAATAATGTTACACTTTGATTGTCCCTGTATGCACCGGAGCCAATCCATAAAGTACCTATAAATGGCTGACAGTAAGACACGAAATCGCCAAAACTAACTTCTGCTGTCGAAATATCCTTCGTTCTTTCCAATTAGAGATTTATAAAATAAAAACGTTGTGGGAAAGGAATAAACGGTGTATAGAAAGACATAAAGTCGGTTCACAATAACTTCTGTACATAATGACCATTAGCTTGGCTGACGTCGAAAATTCGTCCAGAAGGAACGCGTATCCAACCGGCTAAGTCTACCAATCAGTCTGCTTACAACTATTCGCTACAAGCCGGCTGGCCATCTTGTGATTGCACAAGGCAGTAGGAGTATAGAAGCGTCCATGAGGAGAATGTCCACACAATCGTAGGCAATTACCACCCGAAGAAAACAAACAAGGGTACCAGAGGGCCTATTGTTAAACGCCAACTGATGACCGCCAGCATTATTCTTCTGTGAGCTAATCATAGAGGAACAATACACCGTACACACCATGGCTAAGACACGAGTCGTTTCTCAAAGTTTCAGTGCGAAGCGGACATTCCTTTGGCAGGTACAAGAAACCAACAATACTGCAGTTTCGTAGTTGACTGACAATGTCCTCCCATAGACAACCGAAAAAGTCAGTTAATTTCTCCCAGAAAGCGCCACCATCACCTTTGAATGATGAACACATGCGAAAATCTGAAACGGGAGTGTAGAAAAGACTCAGAGCCTTGGCCTCATTACACTAGGGTTGCTTGGGTCTCTAAGCAGATTTGTTGTGGTACAGGCCAGACAGTACTAGTTGCCGCGAACACCAGACTGAATATGCCTTGAGACCATTGGCGCAAATAAGCTACATAATTCCGTGCCACTTTTCTGTGCCACTTATGTGTTACATCTGCTTTCTCCATTTCGAGCCCCTTAAATGTTACAAACTTTCCTGTCAGTTCCTACCTGATAGCCCACTCTGTTGCAATCTGATCGGGAACAGCGGAGATTCATTTTCTATACTCCAGTACGCTCAGCGAAATTTCAAGTATGCAGCAAACTGCGGGATGAGGATCAATAGTGTCAGGAAGAAAAACACTAACTTCATGCAAAACGGCAAAACTTGATTGCCATGGAGCAAGAAGATGAAATCATATTTCATAAGGTGTGGTCATAAGTCTGCCAATCCGTAAGCCATAACAACTAGCCTTATGCCAACTAAGAAAACAGCTATATTGCGAATAATTAGTGGGAATTTGGTATGATTAGACATGGTTCATCAAAGGTCACTCTCAGTCAGTGGGCTTAGGCTAGGCTGGAAAAGCAACAGACACCGGTTTTTTGATATTCTGGGTCTCGTCAGTGATACGACTTCCAGCGGACCTCTGCCGGGATCCGCCACCATGAATTCCGGATGTCCGCAGCTAGTGTCCCTTCGCCACTTCGCTATAAGTGCTTTCCTGCAAGGGTTAGGTAGAATTCACAGCGTAACAGGCCATACGCAGAGTTGATGCACGTCAAACATGGAACTCATGTGGGAGGTAAAGTGATGTGACCTAATCGAGGACGGCGCTGGTGACAGTGGGACACCAGCTGACAAACCGATAAGAAGTGCGTCTGAAGCCGGTACTAAGCAGATGCAGCAAAAGTTTGGCAGCGCTGAAACAGACGTTCGCCACGCGGATAACAAGGAGGTCGCGAATTTATAACCCCAGAAAGCAGAACCATATTCGGATGATAAAGCCGAGCAGTAGCATAGCAAATCGGACAGAGCATGCATATTTGGTAGAACCAGGCAGTTGGAGCGTAGGCAAAGAACACTAACAAGGAGCGTCTAGCGCTGCGCCTTACAAGAGTTGATCGGCAATATGAGACGGGTAATACAGAGGAGACCGCTCACCAAAATCTAAGCAACTAATGAAAACTCTGATTAGCAGTGAACAACGCCTACCACAATGTGATCTGTGATTGTTGTAATTCTAAATGCAAGTAGCCAGCTGATGTGATGGGCAGGGTGCAATTAACTCGAAAACCAAATGGGGGTGTGAATCGCTGGTGACGAGTATTACGTTCACTAGAAGAAAATTCACCGCGTGAAGGTGTAACATTGATTTATATGAATGAATATTAAATGTAATCAATGAAAGCAAGTACTATAGCACAAAAGAGATTTCCGAATCCACGGAGCTATTGAGTGTGGATGACAAAAGTTCCGTGGAAGTGCAGCTACCGTCTTTCAAGCTGAGGATGACGGCAACATAGTACGGTGGATTAACAATGGTGTATAAAAGGAATACGAAAAAGAAAATTGGGTGCTGGCAACAAAATACTTGCACTTATCTGCATTGTGATACCTTGGAAAATGTTCGGCGATCGATACGGATTAAAGCAGGGAACTGATGAATTAATCACAATCGCATGTAGAGTCAGGGATATGACCAAGGCAACTGTCATGAAAAGAGGATGATTATGGCACATAACTTTAGACCCAAAAGCCTGAAGATAGTAAAACCATGGTGACAGTTCGTGGGAAATAAGGATAAAACGAAGTCTACTAAGCATCACACACTAGAACAGAAATAATTAACACATGAAGACTGACTTTTTAGGCAGGCAGTATTCGTGAATATTCGTCGCTAATGGAATGTATACTGAAGGTGGGGTGGCAAAATAGAAAATTCGGTTCACGTTTTCTCCCCATCTGGATCCAATAAACTGATTCAGCTCCTTGAATCCTTCAGGCTCGGAGTAATCGCCTTTAATGTAGAAATTCTTCATCCAAAACTCCTCCAGCTTTTCACTGTGAGCCGGTTCAGGCTGAAAGTGTTTTAGCAACATGAAATCTTTTGAACTTTGAGCAAATCAGTTTTCGTGTAGTGAAATAATAGATATATGATTATAACACACCTTCATTTGAGGTTCAATTCTTTCACGAATTCGTTGAACGTTCAGGGCCGATCTAGCATAACCAACGAAATACGTGTTGTGTGGCAGTAAATCGTCCCGAAAGAGCCACCTAACATGTTAAGAAAAAGTGGTACCAATATAGCTAACTTACCACATAGCAGGATATGTTTCCTTTTTCGCCAAGTCACCCTGGAAAGTTTTAAATATATTCACATCAGTGACCTACCGAGGCCCCAAAAATAACGAAAACATGCGCGCGACTTTCATCTTCCTTTAATGTGGATTTGATCAAGTCCAAAGACGATAAATGAGACATGGTCGGACAGGTAGCAACCACCTATGAAACAGAAAGAAAGAATTTATGACTTTTTGCGGAGAACTTCAATTCAATATCTGTGCATGATCTGAATGCCTGTAGTCTGAAAAATGAAATCGGACCAGATGATCCGTAACGAGACAGACAAGCACAACAAAGTGCAGCGGAAACAAGCAAAAATGGGAAACAAAATGTGCTCAAGGACCTAAAAAAATGCATTCCACTGCAAAAGCTGAAAATATGAGTCAAGATAGTATGGTGCGCGACAGAGTAAACTCAGCTTGGATGGCAAAATGTGAGTCGCTAAATTTGTTACCAGTAGGTCAGCCATAACGCAAATGGTCGAAGTGACAAGAATTGTAACGATTGTAAATAATTTGCTTATTTGTTTACTTTCACGCTTACCTATTTCGCTGCGGTTGTTGTACAACTTGTTTTAGTTATCTATATAGAAATAACGATTGGTTTCGAGCTCGTCTTCCGTGGTTCTCTCTTGGTTGCCACTGGATTGTTGTGATTGTGCACATCGCTGCCTGCTTGATGCACAATCGGAATCTACGTACACGTACAACTCGGCATACCTCTCGATTTACGGTCGTCCGACGCTAAGGCACATCAGGATATGTTATATGTGAGGTAAACCTGACTGACTGGGTATTCTCCTTTGCCGGTTCCTCCAAATAACTGGTGACCCCGCATTTTTATCTATTTTTTGTGTATAATTTTTCTTTTTCACAATCTGACCACGCGCCCGCCATTAATGCGTCGGAACATTCCCTTGGACACGTTTTACCTTCATTTGACGTTTCTAACCCACGCGTTTTGTTCGTTCAAGTGGAAGCTGTTTTTCGCTATTGTAATACTACATCTCAGTCCACTATGTTTTCATATGGGACTGCTCACTTACCATCCAACATTGCCTCTGAGGTCATCGATATTCTTGATCCTATGCTCCTAGAGTCTCCCTAGGATAAACTTAAAACAGCCATAGTAAAGTGCACTACAGCCTCAGACGAGACACGTCTTCAGCAGTTACTCTCTGGCTTTAAGCTTGGAGATAGAAAAGCCGTCTCAGTTACTCCGACAAATGCGTTCCCTCGTCGATTCTTCTATACTGGATGATTCCGCTCTCCGCCAAGTGGAGAGTAATGGTCTTCCCGCGAATATGATGGCTAGTTTAGCTGTTCTCGCCGACGATCTTCCGCTAGACAAACTGGCAGAACCTGCGGACAAAGTTCACGAAAGCTTCATTAAAAAAGTCGGCATCCCACCTTACTGAGACTAGCTCAGGCAACCCCTCCGGAACCACACTACTTGATACAATCGACGAGAGACTTTGTAACTTAGAGCTCGAATAGAGGTAAGCGGAGCCTATGTCCAGATACGAGGTCGCGCACAGGCGTACCGCGCAACACGTGAGCTGTCTGCTGCATACGAAGGTCACCAGCAGGAGCGTGGAACGACCTTCGACTGTTTTGCCAAATTTGGGAATCGGGCGCAAACTGATTGGCCAGCAAAAACAAGCCCGAGTCAACGGAGGCGAACAGCTCTTCCAAATATGGATAATCCGTGGGACGGAATTAACTTACATTGGCTGAGAGCCAAACGCTTCCAAAATTAGTAGGTTTCGTTTGCCAATAAATAGAAGCGACCTGTCGTGTAGAATAGACTCCCTGTTTACCGAGCCTCGGCCTTCTATATCTCATCGGTTAGTTTGGCGCGTGACTGAGCAATCAGGCGGTCGTAGTCTCGCAGGCGCAGAATAGCAGCAGTGCAACAGTACGAAGGCAGCTTTACAACAAGCTCACTTTGTTCCACCTCAGACGTGACCACGTTCCTTCGCGACGACCCATTTCTCGATCTAAACGTTATAGCAACTCTGGTACACGACAGTCGCACCGCTGTTGTTATTATCACCACCGCTTCGGAGACGCAGCGCGTAACTGCTGTCCAGGGTGTAAACACCCTAAAGCCTTTTCAACTCCTACGTCGGGAACCCACATGGCCAGCCAGTAATGGCGGCGGCTGTCGCTGGCCAGGTTATTAGTCGCCTGTTGTACGTTTTTACTCCACAACCAGACTTCAATTCTTGCTTGATACTGGTGCAGAAGTCAGCCTTCTTCCTAGTCCTCTGGAAAAATACCCCCTGCGATCAGCTGGTCCAATGCTTACGGCAGCTAATCAGACTAAAATCGCGACCTACTACTAGAAATTACTTACTTTGAGTCTGGGACTACGGCGTAACTTCCCTTTCATTTTTACCATCGCCGATGTGCAAAAGCCCATGATCAGAATCGACTCCTTCAGCACGTTCGGTCTTGTGGTCGACCTAAGTTGTGCGAAATTACGAGACGATACTACGTCTTTAAGCATACACTGTAAACTTGCTTCAGTTAATTCTCTCGGGCTTTGCATTCTCATACCTGACGACTCACAGTCCTGCTAATTGCTCCGACAGCTTCCGTCGCTAATTCGATTAAGTAACGATACCTCCGATCTTAACCACGATGTGCGCCATCACATCGTTCCAACCGGTACGTCAACAACTGTTAAAGCTCGACGCTTGCGCCCTGACAAACTTCAGACAGCGAAAAAGGAATTCCAACACATGCTTGATCTCGGTATTGTTCGTCCTTCAAACAGCTGCTGAGTATCATCTCTCTATCTGGTGTTTGAAAAGGCAGGTGAATGACGGCCATCCGGTGACTACCGTGCTCTCAACAACGTCACTGTTCCGGATAGGTATCCTATCGCCCATATCCACCATTTACTATAGGACTAAACGGAAAGTCAATCCTTACCAAACTCGATCTAGTCAGAGCTTACCAACAAATCCCAATGTTGGAGGAAGACATCGCAAAAACCGCTGTGATCACTCCATTTGGCCTTTACGAATTTCTTCGTTTGCCTTTCGGCCTCCGAAACGTAGCACAGTTTTTCCAACACTAAATGGATCAGGTCTTTCGTGGCCTTAAATTTGTTAGGGAGCTGGCTATTTAACCCTCAGTTTCATGAGTTATGTTAATTGCCTATTTCTTTGTTTGCGCAGTTACCTGCTTCTCTGCTACATTTTGGACAAGTCGTTTTCCTCAGCCTCATTCGCAATCGCTCACAGCTAATTTCAGCCGTCTCATTCTGTGGACATTCTGATTGGTTTCTTTTGCTCAGCGTTCCTTAGCTTTTTCACGTGGATGTATTATTCAGCCGACACATATTTATTATACCTGTTTTTATTTTCCTGGTGTGTATCATTCTCACTAGCAACTGTTCTGGCATTTGTTTAAACACATCACTTCTCCACACTGGTTGGACGCTACTCGTCGTTTTTAATGGTCGCTCACCAGAAGGTTACCCCAGGGATTAACTCCGCAGACACTATTTTCTTTGCCGCACTTCATCGGCTTGTAATTTTCGCGATTCTCATTTGCTCGTTCCATTTTGTGTTTTCTCCATGCCTGGTGGATCTCATGCATTTAGTAGCTTGGATTTACCCTTGTTTGTAAAGCTATATAACTGGTGCCGTGCTGTAATAGAACATCTGTTCATCCCGGCTCATCTTGGACTCCTTCTTGCGGTCGTGGGGTGAAGGCGTACTGGGCGTCACAACAAATTTCCTCTACGTTTACATTAGCAATGTTTTGATCGCAAGCGCGACACTTGACAAGCATTTTTCACACCTCCGAATGGTTTTCGAACGCTTTGAAAACCACGGTATAACCATCAACCCGAAGAAATGCATAGTTGGTCAGCCCACCGTCGAATTTCTCGGTCACAGGATCGGTGGCGAAGACATTAAACCTCTCCCGCATAAATTCCAAGCGATTCTAGACTATCCGATGCCTCAATCTGTCCGAAGCCTACGCCGATTTCCCGGTATGAGCAACTACTATGGCAGATTCATTCCCAACTGTGCTGATTTACTTCATCCGCTCACCGATTTACTGAAAGGAAGCTCAAAGACGTTAACGATGACCCCAGAAGTTGGAGCCGCTTTCACGGCCATCAAGCATAAGTTTAGGGAGGTCACATCACTCCATCACTTGAACACCCCTGAGGACGCTAAACTTGTCCTTCAGATGGATGCTTCCAGTTCCGCTGTTAGTGCAGTTTTGCAAGTTAGTTGATAACGAATTTCAACCACTGTCCTTTTTTTCACGGAAGTTACAACCCGCTCAGGTCAGATACAGCATCTTTGGTCGTTAACTGCTCACCATGTACCTTGTCAGCGTGTGCGTGCTAATCATGCAATCCTGTGCTCTGCGTTAAATTGGACGTATCCCTTCACATTCTTGTGCCACGTCTTCGGAAGTACGGTCAATAGATTCGGATCACTGAGCTCTATCCAACGGCGTCTATATATTTGAATTACGTCCAACGACACGCTGGTACATCACAAACAAATTCTTCGAAGTCTATTCACTAAGGCCAACTTGAGTAACTTTGCTTATTTGATTTTCACCAGTACCTTTGGGATACCATTCGACAGCTCTTCTTTAAGGCTGTCAGACAATATATAACAGTACTGTGCACCAGGGTATACCACAGGTACAAGCATTTTGTCATCTCACCTTACCACCATATTTTTACGTGCATTTCACTGCACAAAGCCTGTGTGATTTTGCCTACCCGTGCGCCTAGTGACGCACCACCCAAACGCGCTGACCGGAGCAGACAACTGCGGCAGCCCAAACGGAGTGACCAGCGCAACCTAAAAGTGCATACCGACCACTGATCCATGGGCCGGAGAAGTTTGTCAACCGGGAATCCACTGAGCAACAAACCTAAGGTCAACCGTAGCTCAGACAAGCGGGGAACTGAAATCCGCTCGAAAATCACGTGTTCGTTCTGTGCCAATTCATATGACGCGACAAATGTGAACATTACACTTAACGGAGCTAACAGCGTATCGACAGATAGCTTGTGGTTTTGTGACATATGTTCAGATAGTCCGATAATTAAGATTGTTCATAAGGTTACGATAAGGTGTGAAGCATTGGCTGTTACGTCTGCAGACCAAAAGG